TTTTCTGTTCAATTTATTCTTATGCATTGTATATAATTATAATATGGAATAACAGCAGGTAATCCTGTCTTCTTACGGCGATTTCATACACGTAGCTTATGAGCGCTAATATTATTAAGTTAAACTTCAATTTCGCAGTTTTACTGTGAGTCCACAGCGAAGACCTTTAAAAAAACACATATGCGATTTATAGATTACACATATAGACCTACATTTCATAATAAATTGTAAGTCTTTGAATTGGCACAATTTTCTTAAAACTTGACGATATTAAGAATTTTACAATTTTGTTTGATTCGAAGAATCAGATTTCTTCGAGTATATATAAGTAATCCAGACAGTAATAAAAATCAATTTATTGACCGGAATGATTGCAATGACATCCTTAACAAGCGGAACCAATAGAATATTCAAAGTGGATACTTACAAACTCGATTTCTTTGTTGTCAATCAAACTTTTTTCACTAAAAGTGATCAGCGATTCCTTTTATCAAAAGAACATAGATTCGCAAATGCTGTAGGACTGAGTCCGAAAATAAAATTATGCAATATTGTGGTTGAAAGCCTCAGAAAGATCTTTATAAACATATATTAAACATCAATATATAATAGCTTCATCAATATATTTTTTTTAAGTTCTTGTACCCTCTTAAAAAATGCATTTATATTTTTTATTTATATATTAAATAAACCTTTTTTAAATAAAAAAATGTCACAAAAATTACATGTATTATGTACTATTAAACATAAAAATATTTAAATTTTAAATTAAAGCTTGTTGTTTTTAGTAAAACGGTCTGCCTAGTTCGTATTTTTTATTTAATTTTAGAAATGTATCGAACCCTAGGTTAAGAACCGCTCATTATTACTCACTCCAATTATATATAAACATCACAATAAGGCGTATAATCAACACACAAACATATATATAATATATAAGGTCATCATCATCATATGTGGCACGACATCCCGTTACCGAGACTGGGCCTCCTCCATGAGCTTCCGCCAGTTGGCTCTGTCTTCTGCTGCAGCTCTCCAGTTCCGTACACCAAGCAGGGTTCTCGCATCATAAGCCACGTTGTCCAACCACCTCGTCCTCGGCTTTCCTACATGTCTTGCGAGGTGCAGCTCCTCCATCATTATTTTCTTGGGTATCTCAACGGTGCTCATTCTGGCCACATGCCCTGCTCACCTTAGTCAGGCCAGTTTAATATACGTGACTACGTCGATGTCTGTATAAAGAGAACTGAGAACTGAGAACTTTTCCTCCAGACATCACCCTCCTTTACTGGACCATAAATCCTTCTGAGGACTCCTCGCTCAAACACACTCAGCTTCATCTCATCGTTTTTAGTATACTAATATATAAGGTTTTCTGCAAAAATATTGAGGGTTTGGCTTATATAACCTCCTTATTTTCTCATAAGGTGAATGCCACAAAACACGGCCCAATATCTTTGTAGACAATCTTTTTTTATAGATTTGGTGATTATGTTACGATTCAAGCGGAAAGAAAACGGGTATTCATGAGCTTTCAGCATCCCATTAAATCAATTATGTTTACCAATATCCAGATTGAAAACAACCCATTTCTGAGAATTTTCGTATATGAAAATTTGCAGGGTAAGATAATATGAGTTACTGTAGGCGTATATAAATAATTTGATGGAAATCTGTCTATAGCACGAAATATAAATTTAAAAGAAATAATTAAATAAAAAAACACTACATAGCTAATTACAGAATTCCGTTTAAAATTATAAAAATCTGGTGCGCGCAACACAACTTTCACTTGCCGCTCTCCTTTGAATAGAAATTATTTTCTGGCAATGATGAGGTGTATACAATTTTTGAAGTGCATTTCAAACGGAGCTAAAGCTTAAAGCTTACAGATAACAAATCATTAAGAGCATTCTAATTACAAAAAGTCTACTATAAAATAAGTCTCTGTTTATTTTTTCACCATATTTATTTTAATTTCCATAGCTACGTTTCGGCCAGTTAGTCATCTTCAAGCCATTTTATTCAACCATGCTTTTTGCATGTAGTCCAAAGTCTAAAGTGGCTTGAAGACGGCTTAGCGGCCGAAACGTAACAATGGAAATTAAAATAAATATGGTGGAAAAATAAACAGAGCCTTATTTTATAATATTAAAAAATGTTCACCTTAACAAGCACATATGGACAAAAAGTCTATTTATTACATAGACGGTAGCTAAAAATCTAGTCAATCCCCATCTGCTTTTATAAACCACACAACTTCAATCTCTGAGCCTTTCAGTTGACAGAATTGAGGGTTTGGCTTATATGACCTCCTTATTTTCTCATAAGGTGAATGCCACAAAACACCGCCCAATATCTTTGTAGACAATCTTTTTTTATAGATTTGGTGATTATGTTACGATTCAAGCGGAAAGAAAACGGGTATTCATGAGCTTTCAGCATCCCATTAAATCAATTATGTATTATCAATTATGTATTATCAATTATTATCAATTATCAACTCCAATTTAAAATTTTTTGAGTCATTTTAGTGATATTTCTAGTTGAAAAAGTTATCTATACAGACAGTAAGTAAGTTGATTCCGAAGTTGCTGATTGCAGTGTTGAAATATAGAATTGTGAATAAAGATATAAATTTTGTCACTAGAAACATCAATAAAATTAATAATAAAGAATGTTGAAATTGAAGTTAGTCATTCTGTGAACGGAAAGGCTCATATATGCCTATAGATGTTTGAAAGTATATCTGAATATCTAAGTTATAATTGATTATGGATTGTAGGACTATTAGTTATGCTGTCATTTCCCATTGTAAAGTTTACTAAATCAAAATTACCATATTTTCATTGCCTGTAATAGATAGGTCAAAAGTTTTCACACTAATTGTAAGTGGATAATGTTGGGTTTCACAAAGGGAAAATTCATCAAATTATTTATTAATTTAATTTTATAAAAGGTTACTTGATTAGTTTTTGTAATAAACGGCCGATATATACCTAATTATTTAAATATAATACCTCATCTAGAGTTGATACTCTATAGTAAATGTATCTGAAGTTATAAAGATATCCATGTTTATATTTCACTTCTTCTTTACCAAACTAAAATTTAAAAAAAATTCACGATCTTAATACTTACCCTTACTATATATTACATATATACGTAAGTGAATGTAAAAACATACAGACGGAATCAAAACACTATTACAATTTAGGAAATGGAGCAATAGACATTGTGTGAAGAGGGGTGTTATTACACCAGCCAACAGCGGATCAACTGATACCGTAGTCAGGGCTGTAATGCTTTGTAGAGAACTTTTGATTAATAACGTCCATGACCTGGAGTCTGTTCTACTGTCGCTCTTTTGTACCACCTCATCTGTCTAACAGGACCAAAGAGACAAATATAATATATAAATATTCATTTTAATAAATTAAAAAAAATAAAAAACAAAAAAAAAGTTATCCATTATAATATTTTATTTAAAGAAACGCGGATTAAAGACATTTTATTTTTAAGGAAGAATCTCGGAAATATAACTTAGAAATGAAACATTTCATCGAAAATTACCTTATTGATTCATCTCTAAACAGGCGTACTCGAACCTCTATACACCAAACACAAATAATCCTAAAATGGAACTAATTACTCGACTAAGGGACGACCGTCACTTAGTACACTTTCTTAGCATCTTAATATTTAGTTGCTACCATTATACTAACAGTTCTTATATTTTCAAATAGCTCAAAGTTTTACCACGTTTTTGCGGTTTGTCGTTTTTCAATAACTTTAAAAGAGAGTTTTCGTTAAAAGAGAAAAAATGTCAACATACCGTTGCCACCAAGTTAAACTAAAAATGTTTAATGTTGCACATTTGTTACTTTAACATGGCATAAATGTAGAATTAATAGAGAATGTATAGAAAATTCATATAGGTCGGTTCATGATAAATCGCAAACTCACTCACACACACACTCACATCGAAACATTATAAACATATATTATTTTTTTCCAATGGCACTAAGCCCGATGTGGGCCTTGGTTTCCTTCTCTTCGTTATTTAATTAAAAATTACCTCCGCGGCACAGACATATTACATAAACTATGGAGAATTCCGCTAAAATGTGACAAATCCAAACATATACATTTTGAAAACATATCTGTCATCCAAGTTATATTACCAAAAACTAAATTCCTCAAACAGACACGGTGCTTTATCTTAGACTTACCTTCGACAGAAAGGTGTCTTGGATTTATCGGAAACGTTTAACTAAAACTATTTTACAATTTTTTTTCAAATTTTCGAAACTGCAACTCAGAAACTAAATACATATACATACTATTGAGAATACTTGCTTAATTCCAAATAAAAATATTCATTAATAATATATCGTATCTTCATAATATCAACCTACAAAACGTCATACCTTTCAATCATAATTCAGACGACAACAAAAGTATATTGATGCGTGACTAACAAAGGAGATATAAACATACCGTCCTCAACCTGCCAACAGTTGACCAACATATAACGGGCCTTTACCAAAGATTTTAAAAACATTTAAACGGACTTGACAGGTTATTAAGAGAAATGGCCCCAGATGTCTTATCCTTGAATTTAAGGAGGGGCCTAAAAAAGCGCTGGATGAGAAATCTCCTCCTAGCACAATCTAAGTAATTGAATCCAGCCTGAGAAGAGGTGCTTCTGAATTCTTTTCATCTCTATGAATGAAACTAACATGTCATTATTTCCATTATTGACTGCGCATTTACAGATCGAATAACAACATCTCATTTGTTCATACAAAAAAAATTGTTAAACAGATAATCAGATAAATAATGCTCATAAAAGTTTTAAAAAAAAATTATGAAGAGCTCCTGCTCCAAAACGACTGTTTCCGTTCCATAACCTTAAAAATTTTACGACGGTGGAATTCCCTGTTACCAGGTATCCGCTAGGAAGGGCTGATCCTTCTTTAGGATCCTCCTAAATATCCTCAGGAGGGGCGACAGACGAGGTCCTCAGGGATGGAGATATAAGACGACAAGAGGTCCTGATACCGTAAATAGGGGTTCAGGATGGCGGTAATAAATGTCTTGAGGGACGTTACGTGTCTGCTTCTGGTGAGCACTTCTTTTAGAAAGGGCATTCCCCACTTGGGCTAATGGAGGCTCAGGTAAATTGTTGATGGAGGAGAAGATGGGCTTTTAAAAAATATGTTTTCTAAAACACATTTCTTTTCAGTTATAAAAAAAATCTTCCACTACACAACTGTTATGCTTGAGACCAATCAATGAAAGTGATAATTATTAAATTATAAAACGTCATGTAATTAAGTTGATGCACACATAGATTGAATTTTAATTAAATGTACAATCAGTTTGGTAAGCTGTTTATTAACCAAAATAACTCAGGGTTCAAAAATCAGACAGAAGCTTAACACATACTTATCTCCTTAAGTCCATTTGTACCTACGCTTCACAGATATACGAGACCACCAAAAAATATTCACATAAATAAACTACGGACTTGTCAAAAACTTTTAGGACTATCACCAAGGCTCCCTGGTACGTCAGAAATATTATTTTACAGACGCCAACAGTTAAGGATCAAATACGAACATAATACAACTAATTTCACAATAACTTTCATGGAAATACCAACTTACTGATTCGAGGTATGGCCACAAAAGAAGCTGGATGAGGGATCTCCTCCACTAACTACAAATATTAAAATCAACACAGGAAGGACGCCGCTGGGCACTCCTCTCCCTCACGCGTATTCCAAGACCTATTTCAATCTTCTACATCTCGACATTGCACTCGCTGTTTGTGAGTGAAAAAATAAACTTCTGACTGGTGCGAGTGAATTAATAAAGTTTAAAAAAAATGAAATAATCCTTAACTATTATTACTGTCAAAATAATTATAAAGTATTTATTATATTACTTTTGTATGCTGACGTGTCCTATTTTAAAAGTTATTTTTGTCTGAAAATTATTTTTACTAGAAGAAAAATTAAAAATAGGCTATCCAGTTATACAATGCGTGATGCAACATAAATAGCTAGAAAACATCATTCAAGGACGGATTCGAGACTTGCGTATTACAGACATTAACGCTTTAGTGATGAGTAGGAGTTAGTATGTTCTAGAAGCGGCGGTAAATTCGCCGTTACGGGGTCAGTCATGATGAAGTTATATACGAACCTATAATCGTCAGGCCATCAAAACTTCCTAACTGGTTACGGTAACACCTCCTTGATTATCCGGCGTCGTCCCGTTAAAACGGCGGGAACATATACAGAACGCGGGCATTTTTTAGAGGAAAATATTTTCGATGTTAATAATATTAATAAACGTTATCTTACTTATAAATATATATATATATATATATATATATATATATATATATATTATATATATATATATATATATATATATATATATATATATATATATATATAGGTATGTAAAACAGACAGAACAAAAATCCATATGAAAAATTCTTGTTTGTTCATTTGCTTGTTCATTGGAAATGTTTGTTCGAAGTTAAACACCAGAATTAACCGAGGCCAATACTTTTCATCAGTCAGAACAAAAGCAATTAAGCTGGAATATAAAAACAAGCGTGAAGTTCACACAACATCAATATTTAAGGAAGAAATGGAGACCACGATTTGGTTGAACTTCAATAGAACAACTTAGGCAAACTTATAGAGTCCGTGGTCAGACCCATTTTTATCAAATTATTAACATTCATTCGCCTGTAACTACGTGAATAGTTTGATCTCATCATAACCTACAACTATTTTATTTACGGAAACTCTTGGAATTGATTCTTTTTCAAACTGGAGGTCATAAAACTTTGTCTATTTAATTATTTACTAAACATTTGTATGTACTTATTTGCTTTCCAATTGGATAGCAAGATAATTTGATCAGAAAGTCGAGAAAAAATATTGGTCCGTTTGGCTTATATTTTTTATACGCAAAACGGCTCAATATTTTTGAAAGTCGCCTTTTTTCTTGAGTTCGTGCTTGAATTATCTTATGATTCAAGCGGAAAGTAAATGGGTATTTACGAGTCTTTAGTACCTAATTAAATAAACAAAGTTTGCCGATCTCCAGATTGAAAACACCCCAATTCCGACAACTTTCGTAAATAAAAAACATCTGCCAAGTAAGATCAGTATAGCTTCCTCGCTGTTTGCATTGACTAAAAAATATCTACATTAAAAGGTCTAAAATTTTTCGTATGAGAATAAAATATCTGGAAAAAGCCGTTATCGGAAATTAAATAATCCCTCAACATATATAGATTTGATATCAATGAGTTTTGTTCATCAGCGAATACTAAAATGCTCCTTTGATTTAAATCCTCTGTTCGTTCCCGCAATACTCGTTCCCGGTCTTCAGGTTTATAAACAAGAGCTCACCAAACCCCCGCTTTCGATAGATCTTTCATTATCCGATCCTCATCCATATGGAACGTCATTCCTTTCCACATCCGTAAATTCAATACCCTTTCTACCTTTAAATCCCGCCTGTTCAATCATTTCTTCTCCATCCACTCCCAATAAAATTGTAAATAGATACTACTGTAAATGTGTATATATATTATTAGATCGTTCTTATTTTTTTTTTTATTTCGTGTTTTTTTCCTTTTTTTTTATTATTAACTTATTAAAATTAATTAACTTATAATTTTTCATTATAAATATATAGTTATTCTGTATTTTTGTTTTTTTTATCTCTGGGGCTCCTTAGACCACATTTCTGCCTTTTTTGTATTATGCTAAGGGAACTCGTCCCAGAATAAATAAAGTATTATTATTATCATTATTTCATAGTTGTCCCAATGAAAACCACAGAACTGTAAAACTGTACATAATTTAATTTTTTTTATACTTAAGAGTCCATAGATCTACATATATTTATTCAAAATATCTTTAAATACCGTAATTTTTTTGTATAATCACTGAAAAATGATGTTTTAACAATAATTTTTATTGTTAAGGGTTAAATCGGAGGAATCTGGAGAAAATGGTTACTGGTCTACGTTCTAGGGATGTCAAGGAAATATAATATAGCACAAAAAGTTTAATGCACTAAGTCATTACTACCCCAGACTGACTCGAAACTAGATGTGTTCCATAATTGATACATTAAATGTAAAACTCAATTCAAAATTATTGATTTTCTGCACGAAATTTGTTTTCAAACATTCCGTACGAATAGTAGCTTCCTAATGAATACAATGAATATTCTGTGATGAGGAAGAGAAACTGAAACGAATACAAAGGCTTGCTCCTTCCTTCAGGGAAGTATGCTATACCAAATGACTGGAGTGTTTTGCCGGTTGTCACGTAGTTACTATTTGAATTATATGAGGAGTTAGTTGAGGGTGCGGTCAAATAAATAAAAAAATTAAAATATATAAATTATTTTAATTTTTGCCGACGTTTTAAAATAATTTATCTATTTTAATTTTTTTTTTTATTTGACCGCACCCTCGACTAACTCCTTCTCATATTATATCAACGGTCAACCATCTCTACATCATTATTTGAATTATATATGTATATTTTTTAACAGAATTATCTCTACAGCACGATTTATTTTATTTCTAATGATAATGGTGGCGAGAATATACCGGTTTATTATTTATTTAATGTACGAGTATTATTGTTGGATATTTAATGTTTAATCTATATCTAATATGTAAAAAAAAAAAATAATTATCATTATTTATTATATCTTGAAACTGAATCATGTATATAGAGTTAGCTTAATGAAGGCATAGAAAATTGCAAAGGAAATAAAAAACTGAACAGGAATATAAAGCCTTATAATTATAATTGACTTTCTATTGACTTCTTTAATATATTTTTCTTTAATTCAAGAATTTCATAAAATCATTCTCCAATTAACATACATAAAATAACGTAGCCTAAATCAAGAATGATTTCTAAAGTATATACAACATTTTTTTTAATTTTTATTTAACACGATGGGAGGAAAAACATTCAATGTTTTATCCACTGACACTATATCTCTCTGGTTACTCATACAACGAAATGTTGAAAAATCACCAGTTTAGTTAGTTATATTAGTCGATGGTTCTGTGGATATGGCAGTCATTGAATTCCATCTTTTAAATAGCTAATGCAGATTTCATCGTTGAAGTTGGAATAACTGGATCCTAGTAAGATATGTATCGAATGGCCACCATTATGTAAGATGGAAAAAAAATTGATAAAACGTGTTGCATCGCCCAAGGCTTGAAATATTGACCCGATAGTGCTGTTATAAGCTCTAGGCAATGTGCACTTTAAAGTTGAGCTATACCTTTGGGAAAAAAGATTATTTCTTAGCAATGTCTTTCAGATGCGAGTATTTTAAAGGTTTTATGCCTAGTTTTACAGAGGAAATGCAGAGATAAACGCCTTATAAAAAAATATTATTCTATAATAGAACAGATTTTAAAATCTTTATGTGCTACAAAATCACCGAAGCCATTGAAGTACGTGGGAACCAGATGTTGGGCATTTACTCGAGTAAATGTCGAGCAGTGACGTCACGAGTGATCACTCTTGGAAGCTTAGCCATGAGTAATTTTGAAAATTTCTCATGAAATATTTTTCCTTCATGAATAAATCACTCGTGAAAAATGTTATCTCCATAAGTAAATTACTCATGAAAAATTTTAACGCCATGAGTAATTTTGAAAAAAAAATGTTTATATTTTATTTAACCTAATTTTTTTTTCACCTTTCCGATTTATTCGATATCGGGGTCGACATAAATGTTTTGGGGGGCGCTTTTTATGGAAATGTTATCCAATTTGAGATTGGGCCCCCCGGGCCTCGACTTTTTTTAACCTTTCGGATTAAATCGATATCATGGTCGAATCTTATGTTTTGGGGAGCGCTTTTTGTGAAAATTATGTCGGATTTGAGATTGAGCCTTTTTGGGCTTCCCCCAAAACATAAGAGTAGACCCTGATATCGATTTAAACCGAAAAATTAAAAAAAGGTTGAGGCCCGGGGGTCCCAATCTTAAATTGCATATCATTTTCATAAAAAGCGCCCCTCCCCAAAACATAAGAGTCCACCCTGATATCGATTTAATCCGAAAAGTTATAAAAAGGCGAGGCCCTGGTGGCTCAATCTCAAATTAGATACCAATTTCATAAAAAGCGCCCCCCCCCCCAAAACATATAAGTCGACCCTGATATCTATTTAATCCGAAAAGTTAAAAAAAGGCGAGGCCCGGGGGGCCCAATCTCAAATTGGATATCATTTTCATAAAAAGCGCCCCCCAAAACATAAGAGTCGACCCTGATATCGATTGCATCCGAAAAGTTAAAAAAAGTCGAGGCCCGGGGGGCCCAATCTCAAATTGGATAACATTGCCATAAAAAGCGCCCCCCAAAACATATAATTCGACCCTGATATCGATTTAATCCCAAAAGTTAAAAAAAGTCGAGGCCCTGGGATTAAATCGATATTAGGGTGGAATCTTATGTTTTGGGGGGCGCTTTTTATGAAAATGATATGCAATTTAAGATTCGGACCCTCGGGCCTCAACCTTTTTTTAATTTTTCGGTATAAATCGATATCAGGGTCTACTCTTATGTTTTGGGGGAAGCCCCAAAAGGCTCAATCTCAAATCCGACATAATTTTCATAAAAAGCGCCCCCCAAAACATAAGATTCGACCATGATATCGATTTCATCCGAAAGTTTAAAAAAAGTCAAGGGCCGGGGGGCCCAATCTCAAATTGGATAACATTGCCATAAAAAGCACTCCCCAAAACATTTACGTCGACCCCGATATCGAATAAAAGGTGAACAAAAAATTAGGTTAAATAAAATAAAAACATTTTTTTTTTTCGAAATTATTCATGGCTTTAAAATTTTTCATGAGTAATTTACTCATGGAGATAACATTTTTCACGAGTGATTTACTCATGGAGGAAAAATATTTCATGAGTAGTTTTCAAAATTACTCATGGCTAAGCTTCCAAGAGTGATCACTTGTGACGTCACTGCTCGACATTTACTAGTGTAAATGCCCAACTCTGAACCAGACTGACATGGGAAAATTCGAAGAGAAGGCTAAATAATACACCTTTTCACTTACCATAATCTTTCTGTAAAGAAGCCTGACTTCCTCCAAAGGCGGATACGACTCGACAATCCAAGTCAAATTGTAAGTGTCTTTGGCTCGACTGAATGGTGCTGATCTAAACTGGGCAGGGCTGGGTCGACCTAGAACAAAAATTGTAGGTAATTTTATTAATATCACTAATAGCAGCTGAAATATATATATATTTTTTCATTCATAGGAAAATAACTTAGAAAATTACAAAAACGTCAAGTTTTAGCATAAAATCTTTTAAAGAATTATACAAAGTTGATCAAACGATTATTCCTCCCCTCCCACAACAGAAACGTGATAAAAAAAATTCATGATGACTTAAAAATTAGATGCAAATAAATTACCAAACTATGATATTTAATTAAATAAATGGAAAATAATTTTGTTTAAGTAATAATTTGTTAAAATAAAAAAAGATAATGAATAACCAGTTACCATGTTAAAAATTTCATTTTACTAAGCAGTGAAATAGAACTGAATCCAGCTATAGAAAAGAGGTCATCACTTTATTAAATGCTTTAGCTTCATAATTGAATTAGTTCGTTCTTGCGACGTAGAAATGAAATGAATAGTTGCAGATAATGAATTGGAAATATTGCCAAAACCAAAATAACAAAAAGCAAAAACAATTACATGTATATTGAAAGACTTCCCTCAGACTGAATGATACACTTATGCAACTTATATAAAATTCAATAAAACAAAATATCATGCTTACGTGAATTAACATATCGACTGAAGTTTATAAAAACATAAGAAATAATTTGTTAAAACATCGAAAAGTGTTAGTACTATAGCGGAAAGATGATACTTTATGGGCTTTGTAGGAAAAAGAGAAATTCGAACTATTTTCTGACCACCTATCGATTGTATTTACACTATATACTGACTTCATAATTGTAAAATATGAACCCTTAGTACTTAATATTCAAGATCATTGACACCACCCCACTTTCGTTTACTTATTAACACGTTATCGAGCAAATTAGACATCAATCTAAAAGAATCCAAGGTTATGTCTTAACAACTGCCAAGACGCTCTAGCAAATGTTTCTATTCAAGAGAAAAGAAAACAAAGACCGAACGATTATGATGTTTGACAAAATTGGAAGAAGTTATATAAAATGTTTATTTATTTATAACTTATCACTTATATGAATAATCGCAAAAAAATGGCATAAATAAATATTTTAAAATTAAAAAAAATGTTACTTATATGAAAAGAAAAAAATCAAAGCTCCAAGATATTGTTCAAGCCCATTATATCTTCTCTTTAATGATGAAGTACTTGTGTAAATTTACATTTCATTGATTAAACAACTATTTTCTCTGACCCTTTTAACTTATGCACTTTGAAGTTAGTTTTTTTTTCCTTTTAAGTGACCTGACAAAGGTCAAATGAAACCTGAAGAAGACAGACCCTCTGATTGTAAGGACAAATGGTACAGCCTTTACACACTGAGAGGAGACAGTCGCCTGTTTGTGATTGCGCTGTCAGACTTAAAACAGAGCCTATAAAGAGGATCACGACTCCTAAAGCAGCTTCTGAGGCGTCGCCTAAGGCAATTCCTCTTTCCTATTGGTCCTCAGCCAACAGGCTTCACTCCCTCCCAATCCCCTGAAAAAACCCGAGTTCTCTAGTGCTTCTTGCAAGTCTACAAAAATTCCCACAATGTTTCTAGTACTTTCATCCATTTAACAAAACATTGGACTCTTTTATACTTTAAGCACACCAATGAGTTTTTAAAGTTTTGTTTGCATATGGATTTAAATATCTGAGAAACTAAAAATCAAGTCTGTACTACTAAGTCTGAACTAAAAATTTAAGAAATCCATGACTTCTGAGAACCTAATATAATATAAAAAGCAGCGAGCTATGTGCATAAAAATGTTCAATCAATGTAAGTCCGAGTCATGTAAAAAGTTTGTAAGCTCTATAAATGGCTCAGTAAAATCAGCCGACGTATGGCACAAAGTTCATAAACTTACAAATACCATACTACCAAATATTTATAGTTATACTTATAGTTTAACCATTTCAACAAATGGTCAATTATCAGACAATCCCTTACTAGTTTTAGTAGCTGATTTTATTCATGAAATATATAATTCACTAATAAATAGTTCCGACCCTGAAGAAATGGAGTTCGACTACATAATAGTCAACTGGACACTTCCCAAGTACCCCTCGTGGCTCAGTGATAACCCCTATTCTGAAAAACGGAAAAGACAAACGGTTCCCAAACAATTATTTTTCTATATTTCTCACAAGTTGTCTAAGCAAAGTTATGGAACGTACGGTCAATAAAAGATTGATGTGGATTATAGAGAGAAATAACTTACTTCAGCCGTTTCAGTCAGGGTTTCGCAAGGGGCAATGCACAATCGATTATTTGGTTGTATTAGAGGCCGAAACCCAGTATGCCTTTATCAACTCTTAACAACTGATTGCGGTATTTTTCGATGAAAAAGGCTTTCGATAATATAAAACACACTATAATCCTAAGCAAGCTATCATCCGTAGGAATTAGAGGACAAATGTTCCGTTATATCAGTCAGTTCCTCTCAAATCGATACTTTAGGGTTAGAATAGGTTACGAATTATCCGAACAACGTGAACAGATCAGCGGAATCCCTCAGGGCTGTGTCCTTAGTCCGAAACATCCATCCATCTTAAAAATTTATCGGTATACTAGGAAAACGGTATACTTTATTTGGATCACGAGCCACGTGGAAATCGTTGGAAATGTTGCGGCTAAACAAGCGTTTGCTCTTCCGGGCCGGGGCGCTACTATTCTAACACCGCCAGATATAGGTCTTCCCCTCAAAAATAAATCACTCAAAGCTGAGAATCTTTGTAAAATGAGAGTCCGCAAAGCAAATTTAAAAAAACCATAAAGCCATGGTCAACATCAAATCGTTATACCCGCAGAGAAGTGGTTGATTTAACCAGACTAAGAATAGACCACACCAACCTTACCCATTCACACCTTATTAACGAACAGGCACCACCACAATGTCTACACTGCAATAATATACTTACAGTTAGCCGCATTTTACAGGAGTGTCATGTTTACGTGCCGAATCTAAATAGTTTGGGACTAACAATTCGAATAGTAAACATTTTGAGGGATGACAAACACACAATAAAGTTAGTATTAGGTTTCTTGAAGTCAAACGATTTCTTACAAAAATATAAAACCACTTAAAAATTTAATCCGGAGATAAACGAAATTAATTTGCAGGCGTTGATTACCCTGACGTTTTAAGCCTTAATCCCTCCCCCCCTCAAAAAATAACTTATTACTATATTCTTATTAATTACAGTAATAAAAATACTTCGACCCATGGTTTATTGAATTCTAAGCAATATTCATATAGACTTAGTATTAATTTTATATCAATTCTGTATACTCATGTAGAAAGAGTTTTTGATTACAAATGACAACAACTGTATACCATTTTGATAAATATATTTACCTATAACAACTAGGTTTCATGGATTAACAAACTAAAGGTAACTTGGTTTTCCTGAATAAAAAAATCGAATAATTTTCGTTTTTTTATTTTTTTAAATTAGATTTTAGTTCAAACTGTCACAAAACTATTGAAAATTAGCTGATAAATTAATAGAATACTTCAAATAGTTTATTTAAAACTTATCAGTTTTTTTTCTTTATTATATTTACAACTGTAAAAATAAATAAAGTACATTTAGTAAATTTGATAACAGAAAATAATAACATGAAATCACTTGTTAAGAAACTACCTACTGGTAGCACTCTAAAAAAAAAAAGTCGAGGCCATCTTCTTTTCAGACGCCTCGGAGGGTTATCAGGGATGAAAGAGGAAGCAAGGTTAGAGTAGAGAGGATCCGGATGGTTCTGAAGTTTATTATGGAATGATAGGTATCTGGATCGGGCCAAATCGGAAAAACAAGGAACATAAAGGTCGTTATGGATTATTTTATTGGTGACAGAGTTAGGAGCATTAAGAAAAGGATTTTGGATTGGATAAGAGAGGTATTCGATGGTTTACTGAAGCATCAAAGCTCAACTCCGTTAGTCAACTCATGTATATGAGTCTTTTATAATTAACTGGAAGCTTATAGCGTCTGTCTGGTAAGTATTGGAGTAGTCGGAAACGTCAAACGGTTTCTTGCCGTTTCAGTCTGGTATGAGGATTCAAAGTTAGACATTTGCCCAAGTGGAGTCCAAGGCATCGAATAAACTTATCAGTTAAAAATTAATGTGAACACTTCAAATCAATAGTATAAATAAATATTTTTAAATAAAAAAATAAGTAGAAACAAGCATGAAAAAGGGAAGGAAAATGAAATAGAAAACCAAAAAATAAAAAAAATAAATAGCATCTTAATTAAGAATTCAATTTTTTTTTCTACTGAAGGAAATTAATCGACTATTCGATATACCACCTTTCATTTTTTTACTATTATCTTAACAGACCTTATTGCCCATTAGTCCCCTGGACCAGGCTTCTCCATCGCCACCTATCTTAGAGTATTTTGTTCAAGTTACATTCATGCATCTAACCTTTCCCAACCCCTCTCCTCCTACCTGACATTTTACAGTCATACGGCGTAATCTATCTGGCAATTGGTCTTACACGTGTTCTCTTGAGGAATTCATTGTTGCATTATAAATTATAAACAATAAATTATTTATTCGAATAAAAAAAATCCGTCAGATCGCTTGTATATCAATTGTCTTGATATTTATTATCAGCTGTTTCTTTAATGAATCAATTTAATAATGAGCCAATACAAAACAAAACAAACAACGAAAAAAAACATATTTAAAAAAAAATAATATATATGTATCCATAAATATTGTTTGACGATCAATACAAAGATTACAAAACATCTTACAATGTACACCAAGAGCAATCCCACCTATCTAGGCTGCCGGAATTAAGTAACAAATTAGAGCAGCATGTTAATGTCACCTGTAACTGTAACATAATTCTCAGCGGGGCAGGTCCCCAAAGTAAGGGAATGTAAAATACGAAAGGGGGGAGGGTGCGGAAGTTGTGGCGTTTGACAATTTAGTGGGTACCACAGGGCCTGCTATCAAGAGTAAATTAGAAAGCATAAACCTAGAATCATAGCCCGCAAACTTAATCAACTCCCCTGCCGGCAACCGGGCAAATGATCAACACCACACTCTACGGTTTCATCATCGGGGATTGTATAATTTTTGTCAAACGTTTAATAAAATATGATTTTTTTTTAAAGTGTATACATATGTTTTACCACTGTACATAGTTTTAAGTGTCTTGGCATGAATTCAAGTGTTTTGTATATAGATTATTTTTATTTTGTACATAGTATGTTTAACTAATATTATCTTTACTTTATTTTTATTTTTTATGTTTGTTGTTACTTAGGCCAGATATAATACTTTATTTACTTGTATACCTTTTTGTTATTCTAAAGGAACTTCGTCCCAGAATAAAATTATTTTCTATTCTATTCTAATTTATTAGTTGAATCAATGTTGATGACGGTCATCCACTTTTCTACGGCGGGTAGAGGATTCCAGGACCGACATTTATTTATAATTATTCTCGTTTATATGTTAACTTGTTCTTTTTTTTACACTGCTTTTATTATTATCGTTTATTTATTTGTTTAATGTAATTTTGTTGTTTCAGTCACAACATGATTTTCTTTTCCTTTAAGCTTCATATTTTCTTTTATGATTTTTTAATTTATATTATTGAGTCACATAGTTTTGACTACGCAGGTGATAAACGTTTTGACTTTGTACGAGGGTAATATAGAAATTTTGTTTTATATTAAATGACAGTTCAGTCTAGAAGGTAGTAGTTTAATATTAGCAAGAATGGAGGATAAAACAGAATTATTATCTGTAATATTTTTTTAAAACAATTATCAGGTATTAGATACACGATTGCCGATCGTATAACTAGTAATCTGACAGCTCTTTCTCAGATTTTTCAAAATTGCATCGGAAAAAACGGACATACTTGACTTTATACAAAAAAAACTTATGTTTTGAATCCGTGCCACTCTAATTCTTCAAATTCAGTTTTGTAAGGCCCACGATGAATATTTGTACCTTTAACATCCATATTCAGGAGTTATTATATCTCCCTCATCTAGATAATTGATTGCCTCTTTTTACAAGTGAAAGTGAAATGACAGGGATTATAATTTATTTAATTTTTCATGGTTTGTGTGGATTTCTTCTTCGAGGAGGTTTCTTGGTATCGAGTCGGCATTCATCCTGGCCACATAATAACCTCACCTGAGCCGACCAAACTCTTAGTGGACTACTTCGCAGTAGCTGTACGTACAGCTCAGAGATCTTGGAATTTGTCCAGGCCAACTCGTTGGCATCGAAAGTCGCTCCGAAAATTCTACTTAGTACATTTCTTTCTAATTGGAGGAGTTGATTTGTAGAGATTTCATATTGAGTCCAGCTCTCTGTTGCGTATGTAAGCACTGGGGCTGTTCACAGTTTTATAAAAACGCAATTTGGTTGTGCGAGACAATATTCTGCTTTTCATAAGTCCCACTAGCCCAAAATAAAGTTTGTTAGCTGCAATGATTCTTCTTTGAGCCAAGGTAAATAAATTCCTCTACTGTCTCAAACGCTATCAGTTGTATATGGGAAAACATCCCGTGTGGCATCGCTACTATGTATTTTGTTTTCGATAGGTTAACCTTAGCACCATTTTTGCGGCTGCAGCTAGTAAGTTCTCAAACGCCTCGGCTTCACTTTAAAATGTCTTCCAATGATATCAATATCATCTGTATAGCCCAGTATTTGGATTGGACGGTTGAGAATTCCACTTAGATGTCCGACCACCTTACCACACCATCCTGAAAAAAATTAAAGAGGAGGCAGGCAGGACCGTAACCTTGCCGTATACTTTGGTAAGTTTGGAATGCTTCTGAGAGCTCATCGTGAACGCGCACTTCCATCTTCTGGACGAGTCTCACAATCTTAAGTGAAACTCCCACATAGCTGTTTAGAGTTTTTCTCTTTTTATATCGTCGCGATGTAGGCGCCCCAGAAATCTATAAAAATGAGATGGGTTTGGATATGGAATTCTTAGTCACGTTCCAGTATTAGCCTAAGTGAAAACATTTGATCTCTTGTACCCTTAACGCTAGTGTCACAATTATTTTAGTTAGAGAATCATGTTTCCCATAAATAAACACACCTTTACACTTCGCCAAATATTTTGAAAGTTTCGTGTACAAAAATCTTGGACAGGAACTCCTAGACAAGAGGTAAACCTACCTAGTAGGTCTATTCCTTTTTAACTTTTCTTCCGTATTCTAGTAACGATTCAGAACGTTCAAAGTATTTATAGTAGTTGTTATAAAACACAGAAGACAGTATAGTCCGGAGATTTTTGTTAATCATCTTAAATATATCTAAAATTATTACGAAACTTGTAAACCTGATCGGTGAATATTCATAGTGTTTTAAGGAATTTTTAAGAACACAGATAACAAACAAGTCACTGCTTGAAAGCATTCAAAATGCAATCATACGGAAAGAAGGTTGGGATAAGTGGAAACGCACATTCAAAGAAATGACTTTTGTTTTCATGATGAGTTACAATACCCTTCCTGGAATTGAAATGAACATGGTTATTACTTTCCGATTCCCACATCCCCTCCCACTCACATTGCTCTGTAATAAATTGAGGGTAAGTAAATATTATTACATATTTTCATATAAGAGGAATAAATTTCATCTTCAATTTTGTTAGAATACTTCTCCATTAACACAAAAAATACCGTTTATAAAAGCATAGTAATTTTAGCTTGACTGGTTTCCGAAGAAAGTTTGGACCTAATTGATTAAGATGCATCTTTTCTGAACTATCAAAGGAAGAGAAATACGGTTTTTAAAAAGTCACTAGAGGCAACATTATATTAAATATTCTCTTGAAGGGGACACATTAATAACTAATTAATTAAACAAATTGAATCTGCCTAAGATAAAAAAATGTATATCTCTAAAGGGAAAAAAGAATATATCACTAATACAAAAAAAGCAAAGTCAGACATTTTATCGGTTGAAAATATCAAAGAACAACCAGATATCCTCTATGAGATGAAACCCAAGTATACCCAACAGGATATCTACCAGCAACACGTCCAAGAGGATACAAACTAAGGTTTTTAATTAAAATTTTACCTCTGTCTAATATTAGGTAAAAAAAAACATAAACATTTTTTGAGGTGAGTTTTGTTTTATTATTTTCAATAATCAACTTTTGTAATCAACCAAGAAAAAGAAAAAGTAAACCAACTCAAAATTTGAGGATTCGTGCTTCAACATACGTTGTACGCCCATCCGCAGTTTTTTTCTGAGACTATTGGACCGATAGTTCTGAGATTTGATATTCGAGGATGATATTTTAAAAGTTTGCAACATTGAAGAATCGTAGAAATTTGACGATTTAGTGCAAAAATGTATTATCTTAAATATGTTCTACACGTTTCCACGCATATTTAACCACCCATACGTATCATTGGAATGGGAGAAAAAAATAATTTCATATATATATAAGTTAAGGTCCGGTGTGAAATAGATAAGACTTTTAAGACTTAATATTATTTCTTTCAATTCAAAATAAACACATTATTATTTTTTTCAATTTAAAATAAACACATGTTAGAAATATACTGTTACAACCTTCTGTGAGATAGATAATACTGTTTTGTTAAATAAAAATTATTGAATTATTTCCAGTTATTCGTTCCTTCATTTTTCTATTTATCGAAGCCAATAGTTAACTGGTGCCGAAACCCTTGTGTTGCCTAGACTTCAGTATTAGAAGTATACGTGAGTATCGTATTATTTTTTTTTACTTGTTCACTCTAAGGAAGCTAAACAGTGAGAGATACTAAATCAGCAAGTGGAAGAGCAAATCCCACCAATGCCAAGAGACACGTTAGTGGAGTCTCATGTGAACACTCTGGCTTGGTTAAAGGTGCGGGCAGCAACTTCTCAAGACTTAAGAAAAGCGGTCTCTGATTTAGAAAAATTCACCGGGGAAACCGGTGAGTTGAACCCTTTCCTAAAAGCCGGTGATCGGTTGATGGGGCGGATTAAGGTGAAAATAGCGAAAGGGCCTAAGAAGCGCAGAACAGTCCACATTGAACAACTGCAGCTCCCAAAATGTGCGCCAAAGCAACCATAAATAGATGGAATGACCTCATTGTGGGACAGGAAGATTTTTTTTTGTAGTTTTATTTTTGCACTATTGTAGATTTGTTTATTATTTTTATTGCCTAACCATTCTTTTGCATCAAGTGAATTAAGTAAGCACAGTGCAAAGTTCTCATTGTATACCAATGTAAAATTTTATTGGTGAAATAGTATAGCCTGATGACGATTCACTCCGGACTTGACCTACCTGTAAGATTCAGATATTAGTTTACGAAGAATATTCATAAACTGGCAGGGGGGAGTTAAGGTTCGGTGTGAGATAGATAAGACTTTTAAGACTTAATATTATTTGTTTCAAAACATTATTATTTCTTGCAATTTAAAATAAACACATGTTAGAAATAT